CCCCAAAACCCCAAAACCCCAAAACCCCAAAACCCCTGGGGTATCTGCTTATATTGAAGATTATATTATTTTTCGATTAAATTTCAATATGAAGTTGCTAGAGTTAATAGTGTCAGTATTGTTTCTATCTTTTGTTCTTTGAAATAATGCTCATCTGGAACAGCTCAGATTTTCTCGAGGATATGATTCAATCACAGTCGATATTTCTGAAGGTTATCTCAAGGATTATCAAGAGAATAATAATCTACTTAAAAATAACTTGCATCAGAATGGTTTAAAGAGAGATTCAATTGAATTTTTGCCAGATCCGCCAGGAGAGAATAAAGGAGACCGAACGAAATGATACTTAGCTGGATCACTCGAGGGAAAGGAAGAGGGATATGTAAAAGTAGCAGAGTCTATTCTTTTCAATTATATGGATGGACAGAGTCAAATTGATGGATATAACCTCCCTGATGATGTACTTGATTTTATAAAAACTCAGTTAAAATGGTTGAAAAAGCAGAGCAAAAATCATCTTTCAAAAGTTGAGCTAAAAAAAGATAAGCTATTCTTTAAAGATACAGAAGATCTTATTGATAAAGAAACTCAATTTTGGCTCTCTGTAAACTGAGTGCTCTTAATGGTTAGAGGGATGTATGACTCCTTTGTTGAAAATGGTTCAACCATTACTCTAGATCAATTCCTAACCTTGCCTTATATGGCTGATATGGAAGATCTATTAAACAAATTTGATTTCCAGAACGGACACCCAGAAAGAGTAAAGAAAAAGAATATGGGAGATTGCACTATCATCGTCAAAGATATCAACAACGAAGAGGAAGACGACTTGTACATTGCTCACAACACCCATAACACGTACTCGATTATGCTTAGACTTTTTAAAAGCGTCACAATAGAATGGGATGAATACTCTGACTTCATGAAGGCAAAAACTATGAGATTTTCAAGCCGATATGGAGGTATAGCCAGCAAAGATGACTTTTATGCTCTGGACAGTGGCATTGTTGCGATGGAATCTTCTATTCTGATTTATAACAACGAACTATACAAAAGAATTTATCCAGAATCAGTCCCATATTTTGTAAGCGTGACTGTGGCTAACTGGATGTCAAATACTAATGAAGAATGGATAGACAATTATTTAAATCATTATGGAGGTACTCATATTGCCCAATGGGTGTTAATAGACACAAAGAAAGAAAAATATTCTCCTGGCTCAATTAATGTTCTTGATGCCATTATGGGAGACAGCGAAGCATTTGATGTATCTAAAGAATTTAAAGCTAAAGGATATTGGGGTGGATATAATGTTCCTTTCTCTCAAAGAATCTTAGAAGAATGTCATTACGATCCCGTCAATCATGGCTACAACACAGATGAAAGAGCTAGAATAATTGCAAGCAAAATTGGAGAGGCAAATACTCCAGAGTCTATAAGATCTCTAATAAGGTATAACGGAAACCCAAGCGCACCTTGTGGAAGTATCTCTCCAAGATGCGATCTTTCTGAAAAAGGAGGATCTGCATTTGGAGCAATTGATTCAAAATATACTCAAGCAACTTGGATAAAGAACGGAAGCATTAAAGTACTAGGGGTTGGAGCTCCAACGTGGAACATTGAAGAAGGATTTCCTCCGTTCAAATTTAGTGGACGCTACAAAGATGTTCCTCATAGAGAAACTCCAGAAGAACTATCTTTTGGATGGCATGAAATATTCAGCTCCAATAAAGAGCCATATTCTAATTAAGGCTATTTGCTCGGTTTCAAGATCACGAGATCCAAAAAGTGTTCAGATTTCTAGCTAATCTTCTGCTTTCAAGAATCAGCTATAAGCTTAATTAATTAGCATTTTGGGGTTTTGGGGTTTTGGGGTTTTGGGGTTTTGGGG